AGGAGAGAGGCGGTAACCCGAGCCCAGCGTCGCGTTACACAGCAGAGAAGCTGAGCAGACAGACACACTAACATCGTGCAGACGACGAGTCACAATAACCTGGCTCAAATATGTTGACCAGACCACTCACACTAGAAAGTTAAGGGACGACGACGTTTCGGTCCGTCCTGGACCATTCTCACACTCGACTTGAGAATGGTCCAGGACGGACCGAAACGTCGTCGTCCCTTCACTTTCTAGTGTGTGGTCTGGTCAACAGTAACATCGTATCTCCATAAATTATGAAGGAAGCTGGACAGGTAATTAATGTACCTGGAGTGTTGACCTTTAATTAACGGGTCACTGGCGACCGGTAAACTGCCAACAGTTGTAGAGTGGCTAACATATAATGCTCAGAGAGAGAGAGAGGGGACCAAGCAGGATATATTGCATGGCTCACAAGTGCTACTAGTATTCACCTAGTTGTGTTTGCAGGGGTTGAGCTCTGCTCTTTCGGCCCGCCTCTCAACTGTCAATCAACTGTTTACTAACTACACTAACTACTTTTTTTTTTTTTTCACACCCCACCCACACACTGATGCACACAAGTGCTACTGATGCCCTGTGCCATGCACAATGCTCATGACGGGAGCTTTATCACCACCAACTTTGCTTTAACGAAGGGAAAGTGAAACCTAAATTACCTACACGAGTTCTATCATAAACTCCTGACAACCTCGTTGGGGCAGAGTGGGACAGGTAGACTACATTGTTCAACACTTCAATAAACTCTCTTGAAACCATTTACCTCAGAAGACTACTGTTTATACTTGAGAAACAGCTGGGAGAAAATGGAAACCAGTTTCGGGCTCACCTTGCCCGAAACGCTGTGTGTATTAATGGTTTTAGGTAGTGTATGTATTAACTCCATCTATACAGCCAACATTATGTTTGTAACTCATCATCTATGTATGTACTTCTCCTGAATTGAATTAAGAAAAAACACCGAGATGTCGAGAGAGTACCTAACAGATAAGAGACAGCAAGTCACAGTGAGGTGCTGGTGGTGGGGGGGGGGGGATAATATTGGAGCTGACAGTAAGTAGTAGTGTGTCTGAAGGACCTGTCCTGCGTCCTGCGATCATTCTCAAGTCATCGCAATCGACTTGAGAATGGTCCAGGACGGACCGAAACGTCGTCGTCCCTTCACCTTCTAGTGTGTGGTCTGGTCAACATACTTCAGCCACGTTATTGTGACTCATCATCTGCCCCCCCCCCCCCTCCCGTGGCAAATATTATGTCCCCTGAGGGACTTGTTGAACTTTAATGATCCTATGTAGTTTAGCAACCCGTTCTCGCACTTTCTTACAGTCAATATTGACTTATTATATACGTGCATATGTGACATACTAAACATACTAGTTTACCTTGAAAAGCTTCATAGAAAACACCGACCTTACCTAACCTTCTTAGTATGTTAAGATAAGCATCTTATTGCTTCGTAATTACAATTATTACTTAACCTATTATAGGTATAGGTATATATACCTATTATTTAACCTATTATAGGTATAGGTATATATACCTATTACTTAACCTATTATAGGTATAGGTATATATACCTATTATAGGTATAGGTTAAGTAATAATTGTAATTACGAAGCAATAAGATGCTTATCTTAACATACTAAGAAGGTTAGGTAAGGTCGGTGTTTTCTATGAAGCTTTTCAAGGTAAACTAGTATGTTTAGTATATCACATATGCACGTATGTAATGAGTCAATATTGACAGAAAGAAAGTGCGAGAACGGGTTGAGTTTAGTAGTTAAAAAGAGAGGAAGTTATTAAAGAATGAGCTAGTCGTCCTCACCACCTACGGTGTATAGACTTGTTCAGCTTCTGGCGCCTCAAGATCTTGTTTAGTTAATACAGAGTAAGGCACTTAAAGAAATGTGTATTATTTTATATATCATTATCATTAATCTGACCTCTTTTTCCAAGGGCTCAGTTTTTCTCCAAAATCTTTGTTGGATATATATTAAAAACTCTTTAGTATTTATCTTTGTCCGCCCTCCTCTACGGTCTTCATAATTGCTTCACACTTGTGAGTCACCCTCGGGAGCCGGTCGGCCGAGCGGACAGCACGCGGGACGTGTGATCCTGTGGTCCTGGGTTCGATCCCAGGCGCCGGCGAGAAACAATGGGCAGAGTTACTTTCATCCTATGCCCCTGTTACCTAGCAGTAAAATAGGTACCTGGGTGTTAGTCAGCTATCACGGGCTGCTTCCTGGGGGTGGAGGCCTGGTCAAGGACCGGGCCGCGGGGACACTAAAGCCCCGAAATCATCTCAAGATAACCTCAAGAAGTCTTTTGCTCTAGTCGTTACAGGGAGGCAGTTCCCCTTCATTGTGTACCATCATTTTCGTATTCTGTCACTTGTTCCCATTTCCATCACTTTACACTTGTTCATATTGAACTCCAGTAGCCATTTCTTGGACCATCTCTACAACTTGTTCAAGTCCACCTCGAGAATCATACAATCTTCATCTGTCACAACTCGTCGCGTTAATTTCGCATCCTTTTCAAACATCAACATATAAGACTTATCTCCTGTGGATAGGTCATTTACATATGAGAAATAGTATTGGTCCCAACACCGATCCTTGAGGTACTCCGCTTGTTACTGTGCACCAGTCCGACTTCTCGCCCCTTACTCTTACTCTCTGGCTCCTACCTGTTAGGTAGTTCTTGTGTGTGTGTGTGTGTGTGTGTGTGTGTGTGTGTGTGTGTGTGTGTGTGTGTGTGTGCGTGCGTGTGTGTGTGTGTGTGTGTGTGTGTGTGGTGTGTGTGTGTGTGAGTGCGTGTGTGTGTTCACCGAGTTGTGCTTGCGGGGGTTGAGCTCTGGCTCTTTGGTCCCGCCTCTCAACTGTCAATCAATGATTATGGAGCATATTGGGCTCTTTCATATCTTCATTTGAAATTGTATGGAGTCAGCCTCCACCACATCACTGCCTAATGCATTCCATTTGTTAACTACTCTGACACTGAAAAAATTCTTTCTAACGTCTCTGTGGATCATTTGGGTAATGAATTTCCACCTGTGTCCCCTTGTTCGTATCCCATCCGCGCTAAAGAGTTTGTCTATGTCCACCATGTCAATTCCCCTGATATTTTTGTAGGTGGTGATCATGTCTCCCCTTACTCTTCTGTCTTCCAGGGATGTGAGGTTTGGCTCCCATAGCCTTTGCTCGTAGCTCATTCCTCTCAGTTCCGGGACCAGTCTGGTGGCATACCACTGGATCTTTTCTAACTTTGCCTTGTGTTTAACTAGGTATGGATTCCAGGCTGGAGCTGCATATTCCAGGATTGGTCTGACATAAGTGGTATACAGGGTCCTGAACGATTCCTTACACAAGTTACTAAAGGCAGTTCTTATGTTGGCCAGTCTAGCATATGCCGCTGATGATATCCTTTTGATGTGGGCCTCTGGGGACAGGTTCGGTGTGATATCAACCCCCGATTTTCTCTCTATTTGACTCTTTCAGGATTTTATCTCCTAGATGGTACCTTGTGTTCAGCCTCCTGCTCCCTTCGCCTAATTTCCAATGATCATTGGAAAACATTTGTCTCACTAATTCATTGTATATATTTACCTCTTTATGTTATAATTCCCTATGTATTGTGCTTGTATGTCTGCTGTATCAGATTGGCCATTGGGCTACGTCGGATGGGCCAATTGGGTGCATCTGATGGGCCAATGGGCCGTCTGCGTTGTCCAAGTATTGTACCTCACCTCACTTCACCACTCTCTCCTGCCTATTTATACCCATCACTCGATCTGTGAAATCATTCCTTCTGAAGATGTATTTAATATACGAAAGTACTTAAGGAAATTCCTGTTTCATTTTCCTCCGTGGTCTGACATTGCCATATATATATATATATATATATATATATATATATATATATATATATATATATATATATATATATATATATATATATATATATATGCAGAATAACCACATATGAAAAATAGAAAATGCTTAACGCGTTTTCGGCTAATTCGCCTTCATCAGAGCAAAGTAGAATGAAGGCGAATTAGCCGAAAACGCGTTAAGCATTTTCTATTTTTCATATGTGGTTATTCTGCATACTTGGATCAGTGTTTTTGTGATCATTGTTGCATATATATATATATATATATATATATATATATATATATATATATATATATATATATATATATATATATATATATGTCGTACCTAGTAGCCAGAACTCACTTCTCAACCTACTATTCAAGGCCCGATTTGCCTAGTAAGCCAAGTTTTCCTGAATTAATATATTTACTATAATTTTTTTCTTATGAAATGATAAAGCAACCCTTTTCTCTATGTATGAGGTCAATTTTATTTTATTGGAGTTAAAATTAACGTAGATATATGACCGAACCTAACCAACCCTACCTAACCTAACCTAACGTATATTTATAGGTAAGGTTAGGTTAGGTAGCCAAAAAAAGCTAGGTTAGGTTAGGTTAGGTAGGTTAGGTAGACGAAAAAACATTAATTCATGAAAACCTGGCTTATTAGGCAAATCGGGCCTTGAATAGTAGGCTGAGAAGTGCGTTCTGGCTACTAGGTACGACATATATATATATATATATATATATATATATATATATATATATATATATATATATATATGTCCATACACAGTTTCAAATGTAGATATGATAGAGCCCAGTAGGCTCAGGAATCTGTACACCTGTTGATTGACAGTTGAGAGGCGGGACCAAAGAGCCAGAGCTCAACCCCCGCAAACACAACTAGGTAAGTACAACTAGGTGAGTACACTATGTATACTCAGCTTATCGTTAATTGAATTACTTCTTTAATTTTCATTGATGCAATAGACATGTTGACTGAAAAAAAAAATTCCATTCCCCAATATATCTGGTTAAGTGAATGCAATTTCGAGTCTATAGAAACAGCTGACACTGGATTCTGGTCTTGCAGGTCCCTGGGGGTGCTGACCTACGTGCTCCTGACGGGGTTCCTGCCGTTCGGGGGCGACACCGACCAGGAGACATTTCTGGAAATCTCGCTGGGGGAGCTCGACTTCCCTGAAGAACTGTTCGAGGACATTTCTGCTGATGCCATCGACTTCATCAAGAAACTCTTAGTGCGCCAACCTCAGTAAGTTAGGCTGATTTAATAATGCCATTTTGGAGTTTTGTCACTATTAAGTTTCTTATAAAAGAAACATTTACTTCCATTAAAAATATTTCTTGTTCTTTAATAGTGTGTGTGTCTGTGTGTGTGTGTGGGTGGGTGTGTGTGTGTGTCTGTGTGTGTGTGTGTGTGTGTATGGGTGTGTGTGTGTAGGTGTGTGTGTGTGTGTGTGTGTGTGTGTGCTTACTATTTGCCTTTTGTTAAGCTGTACTTTGTTTGCAGGTCGAGGATGAGTGGCCGGGAGTGTCTGGAACACCCGTGGATGAAGGCCGACCTCAGCAAGGCCAAGATCCCGCCCCAGCCACTCACAGCATCGCCTCCTCCTGCAGCTACGCCAGTCATCACTCCTTCCCCTACCAAGCCTACCACTCAGCCCTGTGCTCACCATGTGCACACCTCCACCAGCATTCACTCTCCCTCACTTATGTCAGCATTGTCGGAGATAATTACGTCGTCTGGTGATGTAGATCTGTATACCAAATCTCTCAGCAACACTCCTGGGGTGTTGACTCCTAGCAACACGCCTCCTGCCTTCCTCACACCGAGCAACAATACGCCCACTGTTCTTTCCCCTATGAGTTCCTCTCCGAGAGATATTGGCCTTCCTCCCATTCATCCTCTCACAGGACCGAAATCCTCAGCAGTCAACTCTGCTTATTCGTCTACCAGCTCACTCTACCGAGGAGGATCACGACAGAGTCTTGACCGTGCCAGAAGTCTCTCTAAGTCTCGTGAGGTGTTGTCCGAGAGGATGCAGATGTCTAATCAGAAAAAATCTCTTTCGAAATCCCGCGAACGGCTTCACGAGGGACAACTTCGACTCTCAAGGTCGCGGGAAGATTTATGGGCTCTTAAGTCCTTCTCACATTCCGAGGAAGCCCTGTCGGCATTTAGTTGGATGAATGAAGATGATTCAATTTACAAGAGTTGCAATAATGTTTTCCTTCCAATGCTGCCCATGCTTGATGAAAACAGAGTATCAGGACGTTTGTACAAAAGTTTGGCATCTATCGATAAAATCGATGAAGTTGGGACGGAGTCAAATCAGGGCAGCGAAAGACAAAGCATTTTTGACTCGAGATTCTCCATAAATGACGAGAAATACAATCATCTAATAACTAAATACAACACAGCAGTTAACAGCCACATAAAATCGCCGCCACGAGGTCATACTAGTGAAGGTCGTCAGAGCAACACTGTCTCAGAAGAGCGGCTGAAAGGAAACTGCCAGGGTGGACGAAATGCTAATGTCTCCACCAAGCAGTGCTCTCGGCACAACCAGTCAGAATCACAGCCGACTCAGAAGGTTACGAAAGTTAGTCGAGCAGAAAGGATGAAGCGAGAGGCACACAAAAAACGTAAAGGCAAAAGGGACAAAGAAAAACAAATGCCAGACTCACCAAGGCTGAAACAACAGGCTAATGAGTTGGAGGTGTCCAGGCATCCTGACAAGCTGTCAACTACCAGCCGAGCCTCATCACCAAGCAAGAGACGGGGCTCTGTCTCCCACACTGAGCAGAGAATCCAGGAGAGACACGAGAGACAACAAGAAAAACTAGAAAGACAAGGACGGGAAGAGAAACTTGAAAGGCGTGGCTCCGGGAAATGTGCTGCTATAAATTCTCGAAGGCGTGATTCCGGAGAAGATAAAACACATAAGGAAAAGAACAAAAATAACAGAAACAGAAGTAGTGATGACAACATTAACAGCCCGAGGAGTACATCCCCATCCAAGCAGGCAAAGCTAAGCAAGACGAGGTCCGCCAGCAGCGATGCATCTTCTGCATCTTCAGCCTCGTCTCTCGAGAGCGTCAAAGAGAGTGCAGATTGTAACAGAGCATCTCATAGAGGTCACGAAACATCTGATTCCAAGAAATCTCCAAGGCAGTTATCAGGAGCATCTAACGATGTTATCGAGCACAGAGAGAAACGGACCGAGATGGACGAAGCCTATGTTTCATTAGAAGAGCCCGTGGACGATGGCATCTTCAGCAGAAGTGAAAGTATGGATAGCACCAATACTGTGGAGTCTGATCATACTGTCCGTGCCACAGACACTTCATCAGATACACTTGAATCTACTTTCGCTTCTTGTACAGTTTCCGAAAATGAGTCCGACCTAATAGTGGAAAAACCAATAAAAATTCAGTTGTCAGAGAAACACGAATTGGAAATAGCGAGAAAGGAGTCAAAGACTTCTGAGAGTACCACTCATGACAAGGAACCATTGTCATCAGAAAGTATCCAAGAACTGATGGCCATTAACGAAGAGGAAGAGGATGAGAGGAGTGTGTTTGGCAGATCAGTGTCGACCAGTAGCGACATAGGCAGCATGATGAGCGAGACCAGTGAACCAGACAAAGAGGACTGCATCCCTCCTCCTAAGCCTCAAGAGAGCGACCACCTGGCTGCCTTCAACTGGACGCTCAGAGGCAGGTCTATGAGCATGCAGCCCAGCGACCCGCCGCCCTTTTCGCACCTTAATCTTTGCCGTTCTAACTCTTTCAACTTGGGCATGCCCTTGGGAAGCTTTGTGGCATCGCCTTGGGGTGATGTGTGCGATGGAGCCATCAGCAGGGCCATGGAGATGTTCAAGCTAAAGTCAACTGACTTGACGACGGCAAGTAGAAGTGTCCAAGAGAGACGGCCCTCCCTGCATAGTCAATAGTGGACACCAGCACCCAGCAGCCAGATTCACGAAGCAGTTACGCAAGCACTTACGAACCTGTTCATCTTTTCTCAATCTTTGGCGGCTTTGTTTACAATTATTAAACAGTTAATGCGCTCCGAAGCACCAGGAGGCTGTTTATAACAATAACAACAGTTGATTGGCAAGTTTTCATGCTTGTAAACTGTTTAATAAATGTAACCAAAGCCGTCAAAGATTGATGAAAGATGTACACGTTCGTAAGTACTTGCGTAACTGCTTCGTGAATCTGGCCCCAGGCGTCGACATGTCGTGTACAAATAGGATGGAACCTTACTCATAAACATGTTGAACTGCAGAGCCATAGCAATATAAGACTGGCTGTATATAGGGAATCCTGATACTTGAGATGAGGATGGTTGCTGCCTCCTCCATGTTTGCACTGTGTGATAATACTAACATTAAAGTGGGTACAACCCAATCCGAGGCTATAATTAGTGCTCTAGGTGGAGCTGTTGGCTAAACCCAAGTACATCAGGTTTTGTACAGTGATCGCGGGTGTATGTGTAAACAATAAAGTTTCATTAATATGAATGAAATTGAAAGTTTAGGTGAATATGACCGCAACAAATGGTGCACATAGCTCTCAATATGACTTTAGTGATACTTGTATATTAAACTTATATTATTTCAGGGCTCCAATGAGTGTTTATAATATGGTGTTACCTGTTATTAAAATCCTGTGAATATCTACCCTGTTAACTAGCGCTTGACAAAGAGTGTCTGGAATATGGTAAACAGCTTTAAGCTATGTACATAACTTTGGAGTTATTATTATATTTCTAAGGTTACCGGGGAGGGTGAAGGAGCTGAGCCTAACACCATCTTCTGAGGGCGGTCACTTTACCCACATCTCAGGTCTTTCTCACACACCTTCACCCTTTAACACTTTCCTTTTGGCTTTTAATTACTTTACCACAAAAGAGCCGCAGTCACTTCGTGTGTTTAAACACCTGCACTTATTACCTTGTGTGTGTGTGTGTGTAGTCACCTAGTTGTGCTTGCGGGGGTCGAGCTCTGGCTCTTTGGTCCCGCCTCTCAACTTTCAATCAACTGGTGTACAGGTTCCTGAGCCTACTGGGCTCTATCATATCTACACTTGAAACTGTGTATGGAGTCAGCCTCCACCACATCACTGCCTGATACATTCCATTTACTAACTACTCTGACACTGAAAAAAAGTTCTTATTAATGTTTCTGTGGCTCATTTCGGTACTAAGTATTCACGTGTGTGTGTGTACTCACCTATTTGTGCTTGCGGGGGTTGAGCTTTGGCTCTTTGGTCCCGCCTCTCAACTGTGTGTGTGTGTGTGTATACAGTGTCCATGATGACTGTGGTCGATCGTGTAGAAATCAAATCAGAAACGTTTTGAAAGTTGCAAATCACTGCTCATGTCATCAGTTTCAATAAATCATCTCCACTAATTAAGGATCTGGTGTGTCACCAAGACCGTGACTCACACACATGACACAGGTGTGTCACCAAGACCGTGACTCACACACATGACACAGGTGTGTCACCAAGACCGTGACTCACACACATGACACAGGTGTGTCACCAAGACCGTGACTCACACACATGACACAGGTGTGTCACCAAGACCGTGACACACACACACATGACACAGGTGTGTCACCAAGACCGTGACTCACACACATGACACAGGTGTGTCACCAAGACCGTGACTCACACACATGACACAGGTGTGTCACCAAGACCGTGACTCACACACATGACACAGGAGTCACCAAGACCGTGACTCACACACATGACACAGGTGTGTCACCAAGACCGTGACTCACACACATGACACAGGTGTGTCACCAAGACCGTGACTCACACACATGACACAGGTGTGTCACCAAGACCGTGACTCACACACTTGACACAGGTGTGTCACCAAGACCGTGACTCACACACATGACACAGGAGGTGTCACCAAGACCGTGACTCACACACATGACACAGGTGTGTCACCAAAACCGTGACTCACACACATGACACAGGTGTGTCACCAAGACCGTGACTCACACACATGACACAGGTGTGTCACCAAGACCGTGACTCACACACATGACACAGGTGTGTCACCAAGACCGTGACTCACACACATGACACAGGTGTGTCACCAAGACCGTGACTCACACACATGACACAGGTGTGTCACCAAGACCGTGACTCACACACATGACACAGGTGTGTCACCAAGACCGTGACTCACACACATGACACAGGTGTGTCACCAAGACCGTGACACACACACACATGACACAGGTGTGTCACCAAGACCGTGACTCACACACATGACACAGGTGTGTCACCAAGACCGTGACTCACACACATGACACAGGTGTGTCACCAAGACCGTGACACACACACACATGACACAGGTGTGTCACCAAGACCGTGACTCACACACATGACACAGGTGTGTCACCAAGACCGTGACTCACACACATGACACAGGTGTGTCACCAAGACCGTGACTCACACACATGACACAGGTGTGTCACCAAGACCGTGACTCACACACATGACACAGGTGTCACCAAGACCGTGACACACACACACATGACACAGGAGGTGTCACCAAGACCGTGACACACACACACATGACACAGGAGGTGTCACCAAGACCGTGACTCACACACATGACACAGGTGTGTCACCAAGATCGTGACTCACACACATGACACAGGTGGTGTCACCAAGACCGTGACTCACACACATGACACAGGTGTCACCAAGACCGTGACTCACACACATGACACAGGTGTCACCAAGACCGTGACTCACACACATGACACAGGTGTCACCAAGACCGTGACACACACACACATGACACAGGAGGTGTCACCAAGACCGTGACTCACACACATGATACAGGTGTCACCAAGACCGTGACACACACACACATGACACAGGAGGTGTCACCAAGACCGTGACACACACACACATGACACAGGAGGTGTCACCAAGACCGTGACACACACACACATGACACAGGAGGTGTCACCAAGACCGTGACTCACACACATGACACAGGTGTGTCACCAAGATCGTGACTCACACACATGACACAGGTGGTGTCACCAAGACCGTGACTCACACACATGACACAGGTGTCACCAAGACCGTGACTCACACACATGACACAGGTGTCACCAAGACCGTGACTCACACACATGACACAGGTGTCACCAAGACCGTGACACACACACACATGACACAGGAGGTGTCACCAAGACCGTGACTCACACACATGACACAGGTGTCACCAAGACCGTGACACACACACACATGACACAGGAGGTGTCACCAAGACCGTGACACACACACACATGACACAGGAGGTGTCACCAAGACCGTGACACACACACACATGACACAGGAGGTGTCACCAAGACCGTGACTCACACACATGACACAGGTGTCACCAAGACCGTGACACACACACACATGACACAGGAGGTGTCACCAAGACCGTGACACACACACACATGACACAGGTGGTGTCACCAAGACCGTGACACACACACACACATGACACAGGAGGTGTCACCAAGATCGTGACACACACACACATGACACAGGAGGTGTCACCAAGATCGTGACACACACACATGACACAGGAGGTGTCACCAAGACCGTGACACACACACACACATGACACAGGAGGTGTCACCAAGATCGTGACACACACACACATGACACAGGAGGTGTCACCAAGACCGTGACACACATGACACAAGGTGTCACGAAGGCTGCGTCATACTCATAATACATGAGGCTACAATATAGTCTAACAGTTCATACTAATACATAACACAAAGGCATATTAAACATTTGTACCTAATAGTCAGAACCGTACTACTAAGCCTAGTAGGATCGTTGTGCCTAATAGCCAGAATGTGTTCTCAAAACTGTGTAACATGGATAAGCCTAAGTAATTAGTTAATTTAATGTTTATTGTACATATATATATATATATATATATATATATATATATATATATATATATATATATATATATATATATATATATATAGAGGGGGGTACCACCACTGGTGCAATTATAGGGACCCACAGCCTCAGAGAAGGGAACACAGAGCATTCAGGGAAGAACTTGCCATTTAACTCTAAATATATATATATATATATATATATATATATATATATATATATATATATATATATATATATATGCACAAAATATTCAATCACTAATTATATAAACATTAATTACTTGGGCAAATTTTACCACCGTTACAGAGCTTGAGAATAATCGGTACATTTAAGCCAGGTTGATTATTTAGGCTTTACTGGAATACAACAAAAATTCCAAATTATGCAGAATTATCAATATCCAAGACAACCTACGAATGTCTAACATTTAAGACAATTCGGCTTGTAACCCATCTCCGGCTATTAGGTACTACAATATTATATATATATATATATATATATATATATATATATATATATATATATATATATATATATATATATATATATATATATATATATATATATATAAAGCATAGAGGTTTACTGATACGAGTCCTACTAGTCAGTGTACCATAAGCTTGCAGTGAGGACAAGGGAGACGTCGTGGTGGCGAGTCAGGACCTGTGGGTCACCCTTGACGACAGGTCAACCCTGCCTAACAAGGCTGTTACTCAGCATTGTTTGAGGGTAGACACCTGTATCTAACGTCTTGGAGGAGGCTGCTAGAATGGGTTGGTGGTGGCAGGTGTTGACGAGTGGCATGTGTGTGTGTGTTGTCTTGTGAAGGAGGGGGTAATGAGGGAGGGGGTAGTGAGGGAGGGGGTAGTGAGGGAGGGGGTAATGAGGGAGGGGGTAGTGAGGGAGGGGGTAGTGAGGGAGGGGGTAATGAGGTAATGAGGGAGGGGGTAGTGAGGGAGGGGGTAGTTAGGGAGGGGGTAGTGATGGAGGGGTAGGGGGTGCATGTGCCACCGTGACCCGTCGCCACTCAGTGTTCAGCGCCTCGCCCCGGCAATGGCTCCACCACGACGCCTCGCCAAAGTTTCGAGTCAGCTGAAGCCAAAGTAGG